TCTGGAACTTCAGATTAATTATTGTATTCTTCAGTTACTATTACCACTTTGGAACTTAATTACTAACTTGGTAAAAATAGTACACATTACAATTAATTGACTTTGGTTCACTGTATTTCTCTCAGGAAACTTTCAAATATGAAACTTAAAAAAAAAAAAAAAGAAATTCCTTGGGGCATTTTACTGTAATAATAAGGCAAAAACAATTGGGTGTCTTTTAAATGGAGGAAATTTTAGATATTTATTCCACTCCTGAAATGGACATCAAATTAAAGAGTGTAAATTTTGAGTGTTTATAACAGATTGAATAAAATAATTTTCCATTTATATGCAGAATATGGGAATCCCTTGGATGCCTGTGTATCAATATAGAAATGAATTTAACCTCTTTGAAAAAAATTCCTAGTCAATTTTTAAAGTTAAAATATATGTTTCTGGTCATGGAAAATGTAGATATTTAGAGGCTAAAAAAAAGTCACTTAAAGTATCAATCAAGTGAATTGATACTTTAATCAGTTTATTATTTGGAATATTTCCTTTCAGCCTTTAAGACATTTTGAAAGTAAGAAAACTGAATTAGGGACCTCCATGGTGGCACAGTGGGTTAAAGCACAGCACTAAGAAGCTAAAGCCACTTCAGTATGAGTTTGATCCCCGCCCTGGGAGGTGACCCACATGGCGTGACAAACCTCTCCTGGCCCACCTGCTGCTCCCCTCAGCAGTGTACTTCACCAGTTGGCCTGTTCTGCTCCGCACTCTGGTGAACCCTCTCACTGCCCCTGCACCTCTGGCCTGTACCCCAGTTCTGTGTGCATAAATAAATAAATCTTAAAAAAAAAAGAAAACTGAATTAAGAACTTTTGAAAGTCCCTTTTTAAAAGTATTTATTTCTACAATTATTCTTAAAGGGTTTTCTTTATACGAGTGAAAGCACTTTCCACTTACCATTTGAACACCCCTCCTTCTCTGGTTTGTCATTCTGTAAACTGAATGGGATGTAGGCCTTAAACAATAAGGCTGTCTTGGATGTTTAAAAATGTTTGGCTGAAATCAGGTACAGTTTTTAGCGGATGACAAAATTGTGTGCATGAACAGCAAAAAAGTTTTAACATAAATAAATTTGACCTAAGAAGCTTTGTTTAAAGAATTGTCCAAGAGAACAATTTGGGGTTTCATTGGATAGCCAACTCTCTCTTAGATCAGTGGGGAGAATGGTAATGGATAGGGAGAAAACAAGGAAATGATATTTAAAAAGTCATTGAGTTTAGAACTGATAAGGCCTCATAATATTTCAAAGGAATTTCAATATTAGAGAAAATTGCATGAGAAAACCTATTAAGTGAGGGCAATTTATTAAGTTGGGCTCATAAATGAATTAAAACGGATCCCTTTGGATATGGGATCTGAATTTGAGAACAGAAAATAATAGGATTTAAAAAGTGGGTGATGGCCCCTCCCTGGTGGTGCACCAGGTTAGAGCACAGAACTAGGAAGCTAGATGCGGCCACTTCAACAGTTCCATCCCCAGCCAGGAAGGTGACCTGCATGGCCCAGCAGACTTGTCTTGCCTGCTGCTGCTCTCAGCCGTGTCCTTCATCTCCCCACTCAGTCTGGTGAATCCTCTCACCGTCCCTGTGCCTCTGGCCTGCACACTAGTTTTGTATGCATAAATAAATAAATATTTTTTAAAAAGGTGGATAGTTTTAAAGGAAAATTCAAAATAGAATTTGAGGGAGAAATTATCAAAAAAAGGTTTTGCTAATTATCAAGTATTACATAGACAATGGTGTGTCACAGTCAGCAGGGTTACAAATATGACTGTAACTAGAACCCTGTCGGGCTTTGGGCACCAAATTCAACAAATATTGGTCATGCACACTTATTTTAAATGTTTAGTATGTACAACACCTGAATGGAGTTTTTATTTTTTACCTTTGTTTTCTAATATTTATTTATTTAACTTTTTAAAAATAATAGTTTATTTCTGCATCATTTTGTGCCTTTTCCCATCTCAGTTGTAATCCCTGTGGGCTTCCCATCACCAAATCACCCATGTGACATCACCATAGTCCAGTGCACTTCCCACCCCTCTCCCCGTTTTTTATTCCATTCCCCACACCACCCCCATAAAATGTCTCTGGTATGTAGTTGTTCATTATTCTTATTTCCCCGTGGCCCTTTATACTCCTGCTATGAGTGAAACCATCCAATATTTTTCCTTTTCTTTCTGGCTTATTTCACTAAGCTTATTCCTTCCAGCTCCACCTGAATTCTTTCTCATTGGGGGTTATTAGACTTATCATAAAGAGTCAGAGGTAGTTTTTCTATTTTCATGGTCCTTTTTTACACTATATGTGTTCTTGTTCACTTTTTTATTTTTGGGTTTTTGAGATAGCTGGTGAACTGGATTTGATTGCTTTAAAGCTTGTTTTGCTTAGTATTAGGGCCTTATTTTCTGCTATATGGCATTGCCCTTATGCCAGACTATGGACATATCTATAGTTAAAAAATTTGGTTTACCGTCATTAGAGAACTGCAAATCAAAACCACAGTGACACTTCAAACCTGTGAGAATGGCCCATATCAAAAAATCTAGAAACCAATTTTGGCAAGGGTATGGAGATAAAGGAACTCTTGTTTGCTGTTGGTGGGATTGCAGACTAGTCCAGTTCCCATGGACAATTAAGGAAGTTTCTCAGCATACTAAAAATAGCTCTAGCATAGGATGCAGTAACTCCCCTTCTAGGTAGCTACCTAATGAATGCAAAAATAGTAATTTGAAGGAACATAGGTGTACTCCTATGCTCATTGCAACACTATCTGCAATAGTTGAGTTGCAGAAACAACCCAAGTGCTAAAGGACAGATAAGTGGATTAAAAAGATGTGGTCTAGATAGACAATGAATACTACTCAGTGTTTCCCATCTGTGACAGAATGGATTGAAGTAAGGGGCTAACACTAAGCGAAATAAGTCAAAAGGTAAAGACAAATCTCATATGGTCTCACTTATATGTGGATATAGAGAAACAAAACAAAAGGTCATTCAAAACCAAACCAACAAGCCCTAGAAATCTGTCTGTAGAGTTTAGGTCACTAGAGGGGGTGGTGAGGAAGAAGAGCACAGTGTGGAGGGCGTCAGACGGACTGTGGCTGAGCCCTGCGGGCACCCTGGTGGTGGGTATGGGAGAGTGACATATCTCAGGAAGTCTAGTTCTGTACATCTGAATCACATCTGGTGTTGTAGAACAATTCCAACTCAGTATATTTAGGGCAATTTTTTGTTGTTGCAGAGTCCACACTGTGGAGAATGTGGCACACATCTTTCTATGACAGTGAATGTATTATAGGATTTAGGTTCTGGTTGGCTATTATGGAGGAGGTTCTAAGGCAGTGGGGGCTTTCTCTAGATTGGATGCTATTAGAAAGGTGGGGCAATTCTGATTGGTATCTCTGTACATTTTCTCTATAGTGAGGGAAGACAATGTATGATAAAGCTGTAACTTGTAAAGAGGCAGCAATCATTCCTTTGGTAAGAAAGGAGGCTATTTTGCATTTTGTGTTGCAAGTGGTCTTGTCTGAAATAAATATTCTGTGAAATTGTTTATATAAAATGGGAGAAAGCCTTTGTATAGCTTGTCACAAAATCCACCATTAAATTGATATGGAATCTGCTTATGAATTGTTTTCATGCATTCTGAAAAATCCAAATCCTTTATAAGGTAAATGAAATTTTGAGTTCAATCTCTTTTTTTCTGTGTCTCTTTTTTTTGTCTGTGAAAATGGTCCATGAATAAATAGTGGTATTTAATGCTCTTGCTTAAATATTTGAGAATTGCTTTTGAGAATATGTGGTAAAATAGATTAATTACTATTATTGTAATCAGATACAATAACCAATAACAACTGCAGAATTTACTTGGGCATGACAAATAGGAATGTTCAGGAGTCCAGAGAAATTATTCTATTGTGTTTTGTTTCACTCAATAAGAGCCTTGTGGCCAGCTTTAGAGATTTAGGGAAACGGAGACATAGAAAACTTTTTTCAAATTCCTAGATAACTGACAAAATTATGTCAGCTTTTCCTTTCCTAAATATGATAAAGTCTCTATTCTCTGTTATAGTGGCATAACTGCATGATAAGTATCTGCTGAGTAAATGAGCTGATACCATGCATTCTGTATGCAGTACATTATTGTGCTTGATTATATAAGAGTTTCTTATTGGAAACCATATGCTTTATTTTTGTTAAATTCAAAACATAACAAGGAAATTGAAAACATGGAATGTATTCTCCACATCCGACTAAAAAAAATTACACAGCATTTGTAAAAATGCTGGTCATGTAGGAAAAAATGAACAATTTAAATGAGACTATATATTATCCTTATCTATATATTCTTAAGCTAATCCCTTTATCACTAGAGAGAAAATACTGTGACCATATTAACTCTGTTGTATCTTACTCATCGAATTCATCTTTAATATAACATTGACCTTTATGAAGCCCTTGAAACAAAAAAGGGAAAAATTATTGTAACCATGATTTCTGTTCTCTGCTTAGTTTCTCATCTGAAAATTTCCAAAAAAGAAATTTCTTTTTTGAATAAGATAAATAAAAGACAATTTGATCAACAGGAATTTGGTGTATATTTTGTGATATTACTGTATTATACATAGTGATTTTGTTTTTATTGCCTTATTTCAGGAAATGAAACATGAATATTGATGTTTAATCCCACATGGATTATACTTTAAAATTTGGTATTTTACACTTTCATGCTAGTTTTACGTTTTATTAATCTTGTAATGTGTGAACATATTAAATACTCTCACTATAAGATTTCAGATATTAATTTAGAGTTATATGTGTATACAGCTACATATATGACTTTTCAATATTTTCACCTAACTAAATTATTTTTGAATAGTCAGGATATAAACACAAATATAGATATATATCATTATGATACATAAACACAACTTTGAAATGTATTCACTGTTAAGACATATTTCTTTTTAAGCGCTTCATCAGTGCATTTTGCACTTCCTTATTCCTCAGACTATAAATCAGTGGATTCAACATGGGGATCACAGTGGTGTAAAATATGGAGGTGACTTTCTCCTGGATGGCTGAGCTGCTGGAAGCAGGTTTGAGATACATGAACATGAGAGACCCATAAAATACAAGAACAGCTGTCAAGTGGGAGCCACAGGTGCTGAAAGCCTTGGACCTGCCCTCTTTAGACTGAATGCGGAGGATGCTGGAGAGGATGAAAACGTAGGAAATGATGATTGTCAGGATAGTGGCGATCAAGTTAAATCCACCGATGATAAAAATTAAAAGTTCATCAACATATGTGCTGGAACAGGAGAGTTTCATGAGGGGAATGATGTCACAATAATAATGTTTAATGATATTGGATCCACAGAAATCCAAACTTAACAAACAAACTTCATAAATCATGGTTTGGGTAAAACCCACGGAGAAGACAGCAGCCACCAGCAGAGAGCAGACCCGAGGGGACATGATGGCATTGTAGAGCAGGGGGCTGCAGATGGCGACATAGCGATCATAGGCCATGGCTGCCAACAGATAAAACTCAGAAATGGCACACACACAGATGAAAAAAAACTGAGCCATGCATCCAGAATAGGAAATAGCTTTATATCTGTATAAAAAGCCTATCAGCATTATGGGAGTTATATCGGATGAATAGCAGAAATCTAAAAAGGACAAACTACTGAGGAAATAGTACATGGGAATGTGAAGTTGAGGACTCAACCCAATTATGGAGATCATGCTCAGATTTCCCACCACTGTAACTATATAAATCCCCAAGAAGAGGAAGAAAAGGGGAAGCTGAAGCTCTGGTTGATCAGTTAATCCTGAGAGAAAAAACTCGGTGACTGTGGACTGATTTCTTATACCCATTCTCCTGTGGAAGTCTGTGGAAATCAAAGAGGAGAGTACAGTTAAACAGGCAGTGACCCGGACTGGTCTCCTTTCTCGAATCCAGGTTCTTTATCCTTTTTGCACCTGTTCTGTGCTTTCATTGGGGACATGTTCTTACCTACCAGAAAGTCAGGATTCTAATAAAATAGTCCCTAACCATCTGTCCCTAGCCATAGATTTTAGGGACTGTGAATAAACTTTCAGATACTGTCCAAAGCCTCAAATTATTTTACCAAAGTATTAAACCATGGACTCCAGAGTCAGAGATAAGACTAATGGTAAGAACCATGATGGAGCCTTTCTAATCAGCTAAATATGTGCCTGAAGAAAAGACTGTGAGCTGAGGAAAAACTTTGGATGATTATGCATTTTCTACCCATGACTTTGCTCCCACAATTTCAACAGAGACAGTGTCTCCCACTAAAGCCAATAATGATATCTAGACAAGGTTTCCCTGTGTTTAGCAGAGTATTAATTCTGGGGCTGTAGTCACAGTGTATATTATGCAAGTCTCCCAGGAGCCTATAATATCACACAGGTAGAGCTAAACAAGATTCTGAACTGGAGGATAGAAACTCTAAGACAGCTATAGGATAGGTAATATTTGTAACTCTTTTGGTCATTAATTCCCTTGACCTCTAATTTATTCTCATCATAAACTAGCTTCTGGTCAGAAGCCTACTTTTCCTGCATTTTAGTAAAGCTGGATAGTAGAATGGCAACCTTCCCCACCCATGTTTGTTTTCTGAGTGTGTGATCCTTTTCTGGGCTGGGCTGACCTCTGTCAGAACACTGCACACTGAACAGGACCATTGGCATTCCATATGATGGTGCCTTCTGATTCTAACAGTTGAAAGTAAAGAAACTCATATCACTGAATAATTGTACTTTGAGCAATTTTCCAATTCTTCAGAACACTTGGTTCTTTATCTGCTCTTCTTTTCCTATCCCAAGGGATAAAGACAGAGGAATTGCATGGGAAAGAAGTTGTCCTGTTTTGGGGACATGGGCGTGGAGACCTCTTTTCCCCTTGTCCTTTCCCAAAGAGCATGCACAGGTGTAGTCCACTCACAAAGAAAAGTAATCTTCTAGAAGTCTGTGTCCTACCTTTGAATCTGGGGTACAGGCCAGAGTCTCAGGGGGCGGTCAGAGGCTTCACCAGAGACAGAGTGGGGAACAGAACAGGTAGATCGATGAAGTACACTGCTGAGGGGAGCAGCGGGCGGGTCAGGAGAGGTCTGCCACGCCATGTGGTCACCTCTGGGACAGGCGGGAATCGAACTCATTCGGAAGCGGCTTTAGATTCTCAGTGCTATGCTTTAACCCACTGCGCCACCAGGGAGGGCCCACCTTTGAATCTCTTTTTAATGCAGTTTTCAGTGTGTCACAAAGTATATCTATATCATCAGGTGTCTTAATTCCCTGACATTTTCCCTATTTTATTTTTCATTCATGTCGTGCACCTGCCTGGCTTCTTTCTGAGCCAGCTGACTTCTTTTTCCTACTTCCTAAACAAGACAGTACTGTAGGTCCTTGCTGCTTCACACATTGTCCATCAGCTGGCCCCACTACCGTCAGGGAGAATGTGAAATGCTGATGCCATGTCCTCATCCACAGCACTGAATCAGAACCTGCAGTGTTGTAGTCTCTGGACACATGTGAGTGTGAGAAGCATGAGTTGGGTGTTTCTCCTTTAGAGCTTAAATCTCTCAATGTTCTTTTTTTTCTATTTTGAAACTCTCTTTGCATCCTTTATGCCTAACAGGACTACATGAGCATGACAGCCTCATCTTTGAAAACATTAAGAAGAGCCTCTTGATGATTCTGCAGAAGTTTAGGTTAGAAGTGAACAATTTTATATTTAATTTTTGACAACTGTATATAGACTCAAGATTCTTGGCAGTGCTACATACCTGTCGTTATACATGTTGTCATGTTGTGTGAAGAAATAATTTACACATTGTACTCATTGTGTTTTAATCCACATAAAAATTGAACAGTCTCCTAACTGGTATCTATTTTATATTTGACTGCTCAGTAGTAATACCCACTAGGTTAGAAATAAATTTTTTACTTTATCATTTGGCCACCATTCAAGTAGTCTACTATACTTATTTAACTATTCAGCATGTATTAACTGTTGCAACTGAAAAGAAATTTAGTGATTTAAGAGGTATTTTTAAATGGTTCAGTGTACCACAACTATTACTGAGTGATAGCAAGAGTGTATTAGAAAGGTAGAGTCTCAAGCAGTATTACTCAATTTAATTTAATGCATATACATGGGCAATTTGAAATATCCTGTATTCCACTTAGAAAAAGTAAAAGCAGTTGATATCAATTTTAATATTACAGTTAATTCAGGTGGTAGATCATTTTAACAAGTAATGATATGAAAGTTATAATTAGGTACTTCACATTCTTTTTTGATTAATTCTTTGGAATTCATACTGTATTTTATGGTACAGCATTTCCCAAATCTAAGGAACCCTGCTCAGTGCTCAGTAGCAATATGGTACATACATGGCTACATAGGCAGCAGCATTGGTAGAGAATATTTTCCCCTAATTCTGGTTTTGTCAAATCTCAACTTCCCCCTTTTAATGAGGAACAAAAGGGTTAACAGTGGTAGGAACTATACCCTGAACTATAACTCACTACATTTAGTTTCAGCACTAATTCTAAGATTTACAGTATAAAATTTAACTCATCTGAGTATCTTTTCAGCTTCATGTTTAAATCAGTAAAAAAAACTAACACTTCAAAGGATTATTATACAAATTAGACAGTTAATTTGTGCATTGCCAGGTCTGCATAAATATACTGGTAGTAGTATTCTATTTTGGGGGCTGTGATTTCACAGGTTAATTCACAGTTTAGCTTCTAGGGCCTTAGGCAAGGTGAGTGGACAACACACTGAGTCTCGATGGATGTCCAGGGCCTGCTTCCTCTAAACCAAGGCTCAGTGACCTTCAGACCTGCAGCAACATCTGTACTCATGTGGACAACTAGAGATTACTTACAGCATGTTTTAACACCTACTAATTATGGACATCATACCCTGACACTCACCTTCTCCTTCTGAAGACTTAGCTGAGTGTCCCTTCTCCTAGGCTCATCACTTTAGGAATAAAGATGAATTAATTAAACCATTTGATCCTTCAGTGTCTAAACAACCACAACTAAGAAGAATCAGGTTTAAGTGAAACTGTGGCTTTCTTCTCAGTGTTAGTATTTTATGTCTGTAAATTATAGACTAGAAATGCCCAAGGGTTTCTTACCTCCTGAGGTTTAGCATTTTGTAGACTTGTAGGAAATATCATTTAGCTGGTCTGTCAAACTCTTTTTAATATAAAGAATCCTAACCATGTAATGGGGTAACATTTCCAGAGTAATGCAATTGTTGGAGTTAGTCCAACATTAGAATATGTTTAGATTGTTAAAGGTAATAAATGCGAGTAATAATATAAATTTTCTTATGGAAAGCATTATTAATGATAGAGGTGGTTTCCCAGTTATATATTTTATATAGCACAAATGATGCTATATGTCCACGAGTTATATTCTGGTCACTTATTTTGATTGGAAAACTGAAAGAGGAATCAACATTAGTCTCTCAAATTTCTGGAGTCTAATGTGTAGAATATTGCCCAGCACACACCCCAAGAAATTGTTGAATGAATAAATGCCATATGTCTATGGAATAAGCATGAGGAATTGTGTGTATTCAGAGCAGATCAGAAATTCAGGATACATCTGTATATAGACTTATTTATCACTGTATCTATATTTTACCACACCTCAAATTGTTTTTAAAGGGTCAGTATATAAACACAAACACATACATATCATTATGATACATAAATAAGTCTTAAAGGAGCATTTTCATCATGATGATATTTTTCTCTTTAAGAGCTTCATCAGTGCATTTTGCACTTCCTTATTCCTTAAACTATAAATCAGGGGGTTCAACATGGGAATCACAATGGTGTAAAATACAGATGTCACTTTCTCCTGGGTGGCTGAGCTGCTGGAAGCAGGTTTGAGATACATGAACATGAGAGACCCATAGAAAATAAGAACAGCTGTCAAGTGAGAGCCACAGGTGCTGAAAGCCTTGGACCTGCCCTCTTTAGACTGGATGTGGAGGATGCTGGAGAGGATGAAAACGTAGGAAATGATGATTGTCAGGCTGGTAGCTACCATGTTAAATCCCCCAATGACAAAAATCAAAAGTTCATCAATATACGTGCTGGAACAGGAGACTTTCATGAGGGGAATGATGTCACAGTAATAATGCGTAATGATATTTGATCCGCAGAAATCCAACTGTAACAAAAAAACTTCATAAACCATGGAAAGGGTAAAACCTATGGAGAAGACAGCAGCCACCAGCAGAGAACAGACCCGAGGGGACATGATGACATTGTAGAGCAGGGGACTGCAGATGGCGACATAGCGATCATAGGC